TCTGTTGCTGCCGGATTATGTACTTCTGGTTCCAAAGAAGGTGTGTTTGAATGGTCAGTTCGCAACTCTCGTGTTCGTAACTCTGAGGTTATACTGTAAAGTAACCTAGCTCATATATAGTGCTTCTCATCAGTAGATCTCAAAGCACTTCACAAGAAACTATACAACAGTTTAACAAAGTGTAGATACTATACAGTGATCCACTAATAAAGACTTTACCATCTAACTGCAAAGCTGGTTAATAATCCTAAACAAACTATACAGGGTTTTTTTCATTTAAAAAAAATCAGTAAAGATGTATTTAGTAACTATGTGGGTTTAAGAAAGCTTTAATTCCTCAGTAAACAGGAATTGAGCCCTCAGGACTGTGGTTTTTGAAATTAGGGTGTGTTTAGATCTGGAGACTGCCCAAACTTCATTCACATCTAGAAGGGAAAGCAGCATGCCAAACATATGCAATCAGGAAAAATTACATTCTGAAGAAAGATTGTAAAACAAATGCTCCCATATGTTTCACAGAGATCAAATAGAATGGCTGAGGACTAGCACAGCGATATTTAACTATCTAGCAAAAAAAAAAATCTTCAGAACTGAGAATTAATTTAGTGTGTGCAAAGTAAGGGAAGGAGGCACGTAAGTTAGCTACTCTTTTTTTAAAAAAGAACATCAAGAAGATACAGAGTGTAGCTAAGAAATAAAAGGAGATTCAAACTCTCAACTAGTCTAGTACCATCAGATGCCAAAAATTACTATTTGTATTACAATGCTACCTACTGTCCCCAGCAGAGGTCAACCCCCCATTTTACTAGGTGCTGTACCAAAGTACTGTATAGTAAGGGACAGTCCAGGTGTCACAGAGCTTACAATCTAAATAGACAAAACAGAAAAAAGATGGGAAGCACAGAGAAGTGAAGTGGCTTGCCCCAGGTCACACAACAGGTCACTGGTGGGACCCAGATTGAAATCCAGGTTTCTTGGGTCTCAGTCTAAAGCCCGTACACTAGACCACACTGCCTCAAAAAATACCTATTCCCTTCCCCCTTGCCAACATTAGCTAGTATACACCTGAGATATCTTAATACACATCTTATTTCTCAACTTGAGCAATGTACTGCAGTCACTCTCAAATATCCAGTTGTGCTTGAAATAAATATATAACATTCCCCCAGTGGCTGCACTGTTCCCTAGGTATTCCCTGTATCAGGTATAGAAAATATCAAAGGCATACTGCCATAATGTTATTCTGTTATGTAAGCCAATTCAAAAGATTAAGGGTAACCAATACAGCGTTTCGCAGATGAGTTTTAAGGGACTGGTA